AAAAAAAAAAAAAAAAAAAAAAAAAAAAGCCATGCAGAAATAACTGATGCAGTTTAGATACTTTAAAAGCAAAGCCTTATCTAAAAAAGCGTCTGTTATTGCATCTAAAGTAGTTAAACTCATTAAAGAAATGTGCTATATCAGAGGTCCTCCTTCCTGTGCAGGCCAATGGTGTCAACAGGGGGTGTGGCAGAACGAATAAAAACACAGACAAGTTAGTGTGGGATGATGGTCTCAATGTGTGTGATACTCAGAAGAACCTGGCCTAGTTCTTCTCCGCCCATATTCTGTGATCAGTCCTGCTGCAGAGGCAGCCAGGTACAACCCTACTACCTGCCGGTCTCTCCCGCATAACCGAAGGAGCCAAGGTCCTGGACCAGACAAGATGATAAGGGTGGCACGCTGCACAAAGAAACAGCTGCCTTTTGTGTGTCCTTGCGCGAAGACCGGCTTCCCAGGACTGTAAATGCTTTATCTGCGTAGCACTTCATCTAAACAATTCAGCAGGTAGGAGGTTCGGGTCCCCGTCTATTTAAACGCAAACAAGGCGGCTGAGAAGCCAGAGGAGCCAGGCCGTTCAGACTCCACGGTGTGAGCGTGCGGCCACCGAGTTTAGCAACCAGGCTGAGACCCTGAGAGCGGCTGAACAGGCAGCCCTTGCTGCGCACCTGGAAGTTCGCGGCCTTTCTCACGGGAAACGCCGCGGTTACGGGGGCTGATGGATGGGGGCCCGTCCTCAGGCGCGTCCAAAACGATACCTCGGGCCAGTACTTCTGCAGCTGTCGCCCTCTTCCTCACATCCCACGACTCCGCAAAGCCGTCCCGCCTGGCGCGAGGCCCGCGTTCCAGCGGCCCAGGACCACGGCACCGTCTCGCGCCGCCCGCTGCCGCCGCCACCACATTCGAAATTCTTCGCCGCGCTCACCCATTGGCTGGTTGGCGGCGGTCACGTGACGCGACGTCGCCCCACAAGTAACGTCACAGCGTCCCGCCAACGGGCGAGGACTAGTGACGCAGCGACGGGCCCCACCCCTTTGTCCCGGGTAGAGCCCGCGTCTGGAGGGTGTTTCTTGCTCAGAGTCGTCAGATTGAAGGGCGGAGTTGCTCCGAAAGTTTTGAGTGGCAGACGCTGTAGGTATTTGAAGCTTCCTGTTTTTTTAGTGTGTCAGCGTCGCATCTCTGGGGTTCTGCGCAAGGGCTCCCTCTCGTGAGAGCCGGTGAACCAGGCAGCGTGCCACACGGAGGCAGCTTTTAGGAGAATTAAAACCGAAAGGGGGAGCAAGGACTCTGTCAGGGAGGTGCCGTACCGTTGCGGAATCCGAAGATGGCTGGAAGTTCAGCTCCATGTTCTCTTTCTTTTTTCTCTTGCCCTCCGTCTCTTTATCCCACAGGGAGTGTCGGGGAAGTTCCCACCAAGTAGTGTTGCAAAGTCTCTGGAGGTGGAGGTAGTTGGGATTCCAAAGAAAGAAGCACTAAATGCCAGGGTGATCAGTCCAAGCATTTACAAAGGGAATTTATAGAGGGCTGCAGCTTGTCCTTAGGACAGACTGTGAGAGAAAAGGATAGATGCTCCGAGTATGGCTGCAGTGAGGGGTCAGGGCATCGAGTTTATATGAGAGTGTAAGGAATTTTGGTTCGGGGCCAGGGTAACTTTTAGTACTTCAGAGACTAACGCAGTGTTCAGGGCTCCAACTTGGAAACCCTCTAGCTGGTTAGGAATCGTTGAACATTAAATGAGATATATAGAAAACTCTCAGAGAACAAACTGTAAGCACTGTAAGAGATGAAAGTAATCTGAGTTTTAGTCAGGACATGGAAAGAAAATGGGTGGGCGACCCAGATGACCTTACAGTGGGGAATCTGAAGCCTGGAAAAGTTCAGTTATTTACTTCCAAACGTTCCTTTCATCTGTGGTAGTCCTCATTAGTAATCAGACTTCTCTTGCTAAACTGAAAGCTTCACAATCCCAAATGAAGCACTCAAAGTTGCAATTAGTACCATTACTGTAAATAATTATTTGGAGTTGACATGTGAAGTTACATTAATTTGCCATATCAGCCCTAATTTCCCAACTTCTGTAGGAAATGTAGTAGTTGTGTATCTTTGCAGAAATAGCTGGAGTGGCTTCTTTCTGTTGACTCCGTTAACATGAATCCATGCTCTTTAAAGGTATCCATTTCAGCCTTAAAAATTATCCAACTGACAAAGCAAACTTAGTTGTTCTGAGTTAAAATAAAATTAAAAAAAAAAAAAACAAAACAGGATGTCACAGCAACGTACAAGCTGAACTTGGAATTTGCTCTTGACTTCATGATGCCTGGCTCATGGTAGGCAATACATTAATAATTATTGAAGGATCTGAATGAAGGGAATAAGGAGACTTCATTTCCAGTGCGGGAATAAGGAAAGCAAAAGGTAAATGTGGAAATATTCTTGAGCATAATTAAGCTTAATGAGTTACTTCTTGAACTGTAGTGTATATAACAACCACTTAGGATGCAGATTCCTGGCATCTTACCGCAGGAGATTCTAATTCAGTTTGTCAGCTGTGAGATCAGCTAACTCATTTTTCGAACAGGTAATTGTGAAGGTTGTAGCCCACTGAGTACTGGAATTAAGGAAGAGCAGTAGCTTGTAGATGAGCAACTGTGATTCTAAGTTCTTTATATTAATTTTAATTTAGCTCCAATTTTTTGAGTGCTTGCAGTTTGTTCTCTGAGAGTTTTCTATGTATCTCATTTAATGTTCACCACAACTATTTCTCATGTGTACTCACTACTATTGTTGACGGATCAAGAAATCAAGACACAGGGATGATAGGACCTGACCCTCAGTGACATAGTACAGTAGTGGGGATAGACTACAGAGAGTTTGAACCCAGGAAATCTGGCTCCAAAGTTTATGCTGTTGACAACTGGTCTGTGTTTTGCTACTTTTTTTTGTATACAATCTTATCCTAATTCTGAGATAATCCATGGTTTAATGGTATTAACAAAGTACAGTGTAGGGACATGTCATTTAGTTGATAAATTTTGAAGAACCTATGAAAGAGTAACCCAATTAGTCAAAATTTCTTGTTTAATTTTTAGGTGTTTAGAATTGGGGGCATAATTCAAAATATTTCCTTAAAAATCTTGGTCATAAATAATGGTGAATATTTGTAGCTGTATTGCTTTCCTGTTTTTTCAAAATGTGAATGCATGTTGGTTACTTCATTAATTTTAAGTTTATGATATATTTAAAATATAATGAGCACTCCCATTCTCCCCTGCATGTTTCTAAAATTCCAATGAAACTACTTATTGTTAGTATTGTTCTTAACATTTATTACGATGTATATATCTTACTGACTTGGTGTTCACTTAAAGAGCTGAAATTCTGTTAAGAATTAATTTCTTCTTTCTCTGATAGTTCCAGTTTTTTTTAATTTAACAAAATTTGAGAAAGAAAAGGCAATACTCTGGTTTAAAGGTGGCTCAGAATGACCTTTCTCTATTTTTTAAAGAAAGAAGTTAAACTCCTCCCAGTTTATTTTTTAATTTTTTATTATTTTTAAATTTATTTTAAAGAGAGTAGTAAATGAGAAACAAACAAAGAAATAGAACAGTAGCAGCATACCAGTGTTGCAAACATAAACAAATCAAAGCAAGAACATTCAAAATGATACAGAGTCTCAAGACAAAATAATACGAATCAAAAACAGTAGAGATAATACAGAGTTTCCTCCCTGTTTATTGGCAATCAAGAAGGGACATTAAAATCTCCCTGGAATTTATTTTTTTTTAAAATATTTTTTGGAAAGAGATTCATGCAGTAGTTATCATGCAGTATGATATGGATTAACTTGATAGCGATATAAAAGTCAATAATTTGGTGGCCAAAAGTGGGAAGAAATTTCTCAGAACTGAAATATAGCAAAACCTCAAAACATTTGTGACTACTTTTTTGGTACTTTATGTTGGATTAATGTTGTGTTCAGTTCAATAGTAGCACGCTGTAGAAAAGCTATGCCAAACTTTATATCCACATAAATCACATCAGAGAATCTTGTTGCATACATAAGGCAGGAAGACTGGCTCCAAGGAATAGATACTCCTTCATGTTGTTTATATGCTTTGCGTGTTTGTTTCAGAAATAAATGTTGCTTCCTTAAAACTGATTTATTATATGTCAACATTTTTGTTCCATAGTTTTATTTTAGGAGATTTCATTCCCCTTAGCATAATACTAGACATGTAAATATTTAATTGAATTATAATGGATAATGCTGACTGAGGCCCTGCTTTGTGCCAGGAAATGTTTATGGTTTGTATGCATTAATTCATTTTGTCCTCATGATAAACCTATGGAATTGGCAATGATCTTACGCCTATTTTTTTTTTTTCAAATAAGTACATTGATGCATAGTATGGTCAGTCTGTGAAGCGTGGAGCCAGGTATAGTGGACCCTTGATTTACAAACGCAATTCATTCACAAAGCCTGGTTGTAATTCAAGCTGGTTGTAAATCAAGACTATTTCTCCCATAAAAAATAATGGAAATACCCATAATGTGTTCTGAACCTCCCAAAGCACCCCTTAATAACCTTTTCATAATGAAGAAGAGTTTTATAATGTGCTCAATTTAGCAGGAACACCAATAATTTTCCTAGCATATTCACCAAAAAGTTATAAAATGTGGCTAGTTTACCAGAAACAACAATTTCATGCTGTACTCACCATTCAGGTTGACATCTTTGGCTTGCAGGAAGGGAGGATGAAATGGAAGGTGGTTATTGTTTAGAAGGAGAGTCCCTTCATTAGAACATCAGGAGTCTGGCTCTCTGGTGTCCTTTTCCTCCTGGGGAGAGTCTGTAGTCCACGAGGACCTGCTTCTGGCTCACTAGGTCTCGGCCATCTCAGAACTAAAAACTGGTCTAAAGTTGTCTCTTTCTGTATTTTCTTTAACACCGTTCTTCTCAATTGTGATTGGTTTCTTTACCTTCCCTTCCTTTCTTAGCTTCTTTTTTAGCTTCATTGGGGCCATTTTGATAGCAGTAATGGTAGCAGTTATAGATAGCACTGAGCAAAATCACATCCATAAACATATGCCTCTGGGCTCACACTGACACTTTTGTGTTCTTATATACACTTTCTGGCATTGTGAGTCCTTTCACAACTGGCTGGCATTTGGGTTGTAACTCAAGAATTTGGTGATCCTCAGCTCTGGCAGGAACTCCTGGGGCCTGGGCCTTCTGGGCTCCACAAGCTGAGCTGTAGCATAGGCTTCCTGTATGCAGAGCTGAAGACACCAGTTTAAAAAACAAAACAAACATTAAAAGGAGTCTGAAAAGAAAAAAAAAATTGTTCATAAGTTAAATCTAAAATGCC